CTACTATGTTTTTAGAAAATTTTATAAAAAAAGAAAAGGTACCCATGTGGTATCTTTAGAATTGTAAGATATCAATACAAGGGATAGACTGTTATCTTTTACTTAAAAGACTTGAAAAGAATACAAATCATCAGTGGCTTCTGCTATCTGATACATTATTATGATATAATAGTTGGAGTTTAAAAATAACATTAATACTTCATTTTAATTTCATCATTCTTTTCCAGAAAAAAATAAAGTGGACCATTAGGATTTATACACATAACACTTCTAACTGTAAAAGCAAAAATTTAACCAACTTGTACTCTGTAATAAAATAGTATAATTACTTTACACAGCAATTTAAGAATAAAAAAGTGACCATTTATATCAAAGGGAAAATATGAATGTTAAAGAAGTCAAAGCACATTCAACCACAGAGCAATTTAAATAGCCTTCATTTACTATCTTCTTCAATTCAAAAAATACCAGTCAGCATGCCAACTTCATACTAAAATAGTGTTTTGTGTTCAGTATTTTTACAGCCAAATTATTGTTCACCTAATAATAATGAGTATAATAGGAAGTAATGTCAGCAACACAATGGCGTGAGACGCTCCTCTTTCATATGCCTCTTTTTAATCAATGAATTAGACATCCATACACAAATAAATCGCCTTTGTGGGCACTCTGGGACCTACAGCCTTACTCCAAGGAACCCATGAGGAATCTTGCCCAACAGTGTAGCATGTAACAGACAAACCTCCCTGTGAGCTGCGGAACCAGTAGAGCTGGCAAAACTGCCGAGAACCCTCTCACCGCTGTTGGGCAAAAATCAAGAGTGCTCTCCCAAGCAGGCATCATGTACAAGAGAGAACTTCCAGAAGTCCAACATTCCCAAGGAGAGCCACCAGCACATCCTCTGGTTGCAGTGGAGGTGGTAAGAGAAACCGTACTAGTGCTGCCACTCTCCTCTAAAAAATGGAACACGATAGACAGCCCAGAATTAAACTCCCACGTATAAGGCCAACTAACCTATAACAAGAGAGCCAAGAACATCCAATAGGGAAAGGATAGTCTCTTCAACAAATGGTGTTCGGAAAACTACATAACCACATGCAGAGAAAGAATATTGGATCCCCAGCTTACACCACTCACAAAAATCACCTCAAAATAAATCAAAAATGGAAACATAAGACCTGAAACAGTAAACACTTCTTAAAGAAAACATAGAAAGGAAAATCCTTGACAATGGACTTGGCAATGACTTTTCTGGATATGACACCCCAAAGCATAGATAACAATAAGAAAGAATCAACAAGTGGCACTATATCAAACTTAAAAGCTTACACTGCAGAAGCAACAATTAACAAAATGAACAGGAAAATTATTTGTAAACCATCTAACAGATAAGGGGTTAATATCCAAAATTTATAAAGAACTCATGTAACTCAGTAACAACAACAACAAAAACGATTCAATTAAAAAATGGGCAGAGGAACTAAAGAGGCATTTTTCCAAAGAAGACATTCAAATGGCCAACAGGTACATGAAAAGGGGTTCAACATCACTAATCAACAGGAAAATGCAAATCAAAACCGTAATGAGATATCATTTCACACCTGTAAGGTGGCTACATCAACAAAACAAGAGAGAACAAGTGTTGTGAGAATGTCGAGAAAAGGGAACTCCTGTGCACTGTTGGTGGGATTGTAAACGGGTTCACCCACTATGAAGAACAGTATAGAGGTTCCTCAAAAAATTAAAAATAGAACTACTATATGATCCAGCAATCCTACTTCTGAGTATACATCCAAAGGAAATAAAAACAAGTTATCAAGAAGATTTATGCATTCCCATGTTTACTGAAGCATTATTCACAACAACCACAATATGGAAACAACCTAAGCATCTATAAAGGAGTGAATGGATAAATAAGTAGTTATGGTATATATATGAAGAATGGAATACTGATATTCAGTTACGAGAAAAAAGGAAATCCTGCCATGTGCAGCAACAGGGATAAATCTTGAGGACATTAAGCTAAGTGAGATAAGTCAGACCTAGAAAGATAAATACTCTAAGATAGCTCTTATATGTGGAATCTATTAAAAAAAAAAAAAAAAAAAAAACCTCATGGGGCCGGCCTGGTGGTGGAGCAGTTTTTTTTTTAAGTTCATGTACTGCACTTCAGCAGCCCCAGGTTCACTGGTCCAGATCCTGGGCGTGGACCTACATACCGCTTACCAAGCCTTGCTTTGGTGGGCATCCCACATATAAAATAGGGGAAGATGGGCACGGATGTTAGTCCAGGGCCAATCTTCCTCAGCAAAAAGAGGAGGATTGGTGGCGGATGTTAGCTCAGGGCTAATCTTCCTCAAAAAAACAAACAAGAAAACAAACTCAAAGAAACAGAGTGGAATGGTGGTTACTAAGGGCTGGGGAGTGGGGAAATGGGAGAGATGTTATTTAAGGTATATACTTGCAACTAGTATTTAAGTAAGACCTGCACATTTAATACACAGTACAGTAATTATAGACAACAAAACTGTACTATGGACATTACACTTGCTAAGAGAGTAGATCTTAATTGTTCCCACCACCAGATGAAACAATAATTATGTGATGTGACAGAGGTGTTAGCTGACGCTACAATGGCAATTATACTGAAATATAAATGTATCAAATAAATGTGCTATACACCTTAAAATTATACAATGTTATATGTGAATTATATCTCAATTAAAAATGTATAACATTCAATATTTAACTGATACGGAAATAACTTATTTACAGATGGATTATAATGTCACTTTTATTACTATCAAGTGTTTTTTTAATTTTCCCCAGCAGAAAATCAACCAAAGAAATAGAATATTTGCATCAATAGTGAACCTGTCACATTCAACATTAAAATAATTGTATTGTTGATAATGTTTGGAACTAATTCATGTTCTTATGTTATGTAGTAGTAAAATAATATGTGGGGCGAAGGTCTTCATAAACATTAAACAGGCATAAAACTAAATATGAAGTGAAACTTTTCTTCTTGATCACAATTAAATTATAGCATATGCAGTATGTCATTTATATATTACTTCTACATTTACATATGATATATATGTTATAAATAAATATATACATATATGGAGCCATTATACATCTGAGGGGAAAAAAACACCTCACTGTATACAGTTCAGTTTGCTTTAAGAAAAGCAAAACTTTTGCAACTATCCATTTTTTTCGTCAATCAAGTTTAGCTTTTAATAGCCACAAACAAGTCTACCTTGAAACAACAGAAAAGACTTGAATGTGGTATAAATTCTTTGTAGAAAACAGGGAAAAAGTCATTTGAAAAGTCCTCCCCACCAAAAGCAAGTTATAGAGACAGATACATACACACACAGCAGGCAGTGCGGTCTGCATTTACCAGTCCTATTTTTGGGCATAGTTTACGTCACAGAACACAGAAACTAGACTTATTAGTATACACTAGAAAGTAAGATTTTTTTTTTAAATAGTTGAAACAAAACCCACAATTACTCCAGAGAAGAAAACCAAGTAATCTTGCACACAGTTTTTGTTCATGTTCTTGCATATATTGTTTTGTTCAGGAAAAAGCCTTGCGTGTCTCTATAAACATATCAGCTCAACAGTGAGTTTTTGCCTTTTGTAGAGCTAGAAAAATGTGGGAACACCCAATTTGTTCTTGTGTTCCTAGTGCTAGGGACACTAACAAGACAGAGGGAACCAAAACAGGAAGGTTTTTATAAAGGGCATATTAATGAATTTTCAGGTACCCAATTATATTAAAGAATTTTCAGGCACCCAATTATATTTTTTTCATATTATTTACCTGTGGAATAATAGGGCTCTATCTAAATATGTGTAATTGGAGTGCCAAAAGTTAGAAGGAAGAGGAAGTTGAGGGGAGGGGGGAACGACAATAAGAATAACCAGTTACTCCGCATCAGTCAAGGTAAAGGTGCATACTGTCAGCTTCAGAGCAATCACAAAATAAACAAGATGAAAGAATACATGTAATAACCCAGAAGAGACTACAAAATAGAATAAACATATTCAATACAAGAGAAGGCAGAAAAAGAAGGAAAAGGAACAGAACAGATGGGATAAATAGAAAACAAACAGCAAGATGAAACATTTAAAATCAACCAGAGCATTTTACATTAACTATAAATAAAATAAACACAGAAATTAAAAAAAAGAGATTGTCTGACTAGTTTAGAAAAACAAAAAAAAGACCAAATTATATGCTACATGCCTAAAATTTGAAACAGCCCACTGTTCATCAAGGTTAATGCAGAAACAAATTGCTATAACCAGCCAGTGGCATCCTACTCAGCAATAATAATGACTAAACTACTGATATAGTTAACAACATGGGTAAATTTCAAAATAGAGTACTGAACAAAAGGCCATACACATACAAATCCTGGATTATTCTATTTTTATATAGTAACAGAATATTCACAACTACTCTACAGTGATAAAAATTAGATGCATAGTTTCCTGGGGTGGAGGGTGGTGCTGAGTAACAGAAGAATGACAATTTTGGGGCTACAGAATATTTTACTTCATTACTGGGGTGATATTTAAACAGGTATACATCTTTGAGAAACATTATTGAGCTGCAAATTTAAAGTGGGAGAATTCACTGTATTTTATGTAAATCATAACGTAATAAAAGTCAGAAAGAACACTAAATTAGAAATAAATTAGAAATAAAATTCACATATCCAGAAATGCTCCAAAATTTAGAAATTAAACCACATTCTTTAAACTAGTGTTTAAGGTGGTTGCCCGGATGTTCAAGAATATATATACAGTTTGATTGGAGTTTATAAGTTAAAAATCATAATTAATAACAATGTAAAGACTAGTAATTTAATGTTCTACAAAAAATTATTCATATAAACACATACACATACATACACACACATACACACTCACATACATACACACACAAACCTAAACACACACACATAAAATAAAATAATTACCAATTGAAGCTGAGTACATTTGTTTCATGTGAGTTTCAATGACAGAAGGATCCCGAGAGCTATAACTTCCCAGCTCAGGGTAAAAGCTGGAGCCAATGTCATCTGGGGGATTGTGTTTCCCTTGTGGATAATTCTTGGTTATTTTAGGATCCCAATGCTTCAGGATTGGATGGTTCCAATGTACATATTTACCATCAAATTGTGGATTTCCATACCAACTGTAATAAAATACATGTAAATAATAATTCAGAGGTGGCTGTTCTTCCAGGTTAGGTTCAGAAGCTTTGGAAGCTTTTATAGTGATTTCAACACTTTTTAAATTCTTGACATTTGTTTCACTGTTGATTTTGTCACTCTTTTGGGAATCAAAACTTTTCCCCAAGTGAGATCGTTGACGAAGTTCTGGAAGAAGGTCCAGTCCAAAAGGATCTCCAAAAGTAGCTTTATTTGGTCTCAGCATTTTTAAACCCATCATCAGAGAGAAGATAAATAGAATAAAAAGTGACAAAATGATGCAAGTCTTTCTTCGAAACTTTGCCATGACGACATACTTTAAACTCCAAAATGGTAAATGTTTAGCTGTAATTTATTGAAAAATGGTAATTAGTAAGTGGTATTAACATTATTTTCCAATGTCTTCAAAATGAAAAGTAAAATCCATTCAGTTCATTACATTGAAAAAATTTCTAAGTGCATTATCATGTTAATTATACCATCAATTATTGATGTCTACAAAAGAATCCATATATGGCTTGGCTAAATAGCAGTATTTGTTTGGAAATACCACGATTACATTTTGTCAGATAAACATTTTAGGAATTTTAAGAAAATGAATATATTTTTCAATTGGGCATATTCTGCACATACTGAATACAGAAAGGGAATATCCTATGTTTATGGACTAAAATTTTCTAAATATAAATATAAAATTAAAGGTTCATAGTTTAAAAAAGGAAATACTTATATTAAAAGTCTAGTCATTAAATGGATTTGCAACAAAGTCAATTTTTTTTTAACTAAAATGATTTCACATGAAGGGAGTAATCACACATTTTAAATGACATTTTTGAAATAGAATGAGATAAAATAAAAAAGAACGACAGTAGATAAAAGAATAACAAGTTAGAGATTCCTAATTTAAAAAGATATTACTTTACAACTTTAAAAATCTTATTGACAGAGGTTAGAAACACTAACTTAAAACTTCTAGAATGGTATTGCATGTGTGTTTTTATGTTTTAATAAGCAGATGTATACACATATCTGTATAGGTATGTGTGAATATGTACAAAGGTGTATACACATACACATACATATGGATAAAACATTTAAGTCTTTTGAAGTTTTATTAGAAAGGTATTTGGCAAAAAGTTGACGTTGATTGAATTTGTAAAACGTGACTTTCTAAGATAACATCATGCTGTTGTTATTCTAGAGAATTAAGTTAAAATAAACTAACCCTGATATAAGACAAGTAAAACTCACTCTAATGAGCAAGTAGTTCTGTCACACACACACACAAACTTCTAAAAACTGCTGCTTCTATTATGCATACATGCAAGAAATACTAAGATGAGCAAGCATACTTCTTTTAGGGCTAAGATCACAGAGATTCTTTTCAAAGTCAATCTCGTTTAACTGTGAAATATATGACACCTAAAGACACTATAAAAGACATATGTCTAGTTTGAAACACACAAACATTGGAAAAGAAAACTACCAGCTTAAAAGCCCATCTCCACCTTTTGTGTCTCCTGCCAATCACCAGCCCTGTCCCTTCTCCTTGCTTAAGGGCATCCACTTGACTTTGTGTTTACCATCCCCCTTCACCTTTCTTTGTAGTTTTTCCAAAACATAAGCATACCTAACCAATATTAACTTTGTTTTGCCTGTTTCAAAATTTTAAGTAGATATGGTATATCCATATATACACCATACACATGTGTATGCATCCACACATGAATATATAATAAGCATATTAATCTTATATACAGATATACTTTTACCTTACATATATTTACATACACTATAAATATGTATAATTATATCTATAATTCGATGTATATAAAATATAGAAAACTCTTGGGAAATAATATTGGTTACTAAACCTTCTGACACTTTACCTGGCATCCTAACTCTTCCCCATCCCTACGTCCCAACACACCAGTTCTTTCTCTCTTATAAAAAGCCATGAAAATGGACTTTTAGTAAAGGAATAGGTAGATGGGTTTGGGGATTTTATTTATAACTATATTAATTCACTGGTTTGATGAACATGCTTTCATGTCAAATATTTCTCCTTTCCAAACCTTGAAAATAAAGTTATCAAAGTAACACTTTCTCTTGTTCCTAAGACTCTAATTTAGGGACCGACCCCCCCAAAAACCTTTTATTACATTTTAATATCATCGCATGGATACACTGTGACCACATCAATAAGCTGGACTCAAACTATGTCATGTAACCGATCAATAACATAAGATGTAAGCTAAAACAAACATTATGAAAGTAGGCATAGTTGACTTTAAGATGAGAAATAGTTGAATCTTTATTGCTCTCCAAGGAACAAATAAAAACTTGTTTCATTTGCTTGAAATAGCAAAAAAACCCTCCAGAAAACAAAAAGTAAAAGATGTGTAATTCACTTTCAACTATATTATGTAAAAAGTAGTATGCTAGGTGCCACACAAAATAGGTTTATTAGTAAGACAGTTCTTATGTTCAAGGGGCTTAGAGTCCATGAGGAAGGGGAAGACATATATGCAAAGAAGAAAAGTGCCAAAAGAGAAGTGGAAGGCATACAGCAGAATGAAATGTCATATAAACTAAGGAGGTGAAGAAAACTCTTTAGGAAAAAATAGTAACATCTTGGAAGAATGTGTACAATATGCATAGGCTGGTGGAAAAGAAGGGAAAAGAAGAGATAGTCATTAAGTGTCAAAGGAAACAATATGCCCAAAGATATACTGGACATGAAAAAAAAATACATTTGTAAAATAAAAAGGCTTCTTCTGGCTGCAGCACAGAAAACAAGATGGTGAGGCAAAATAGAGCTGTAGAGGGATGTTGGAACCATGCTGTACCAAAGTGAGAGGACAGTTCTTATTCTGGTAAACAGGGGGACACTGGAGACTTATAAACAAAATATCGGCATAGAGTTTAGAAGGATGAAGCACCTATAAAAAATGACATTGAAGCCATGCCACTTTACCATTTTCTAATCTAACAATCTCCCATTCACTGACGATTTTGGCAACTGACTTCCTGTCTTCCCCACTACCCTACTTCTACTTTTAGTGACTCCACGAACATGCATGATCCAGGCAGTAGCTTACCCTCCCAATTCTTTGCCTCACTTCTAATGATCTGTTTTTCCACCCCACTTCACCAACTTGTGTCATATGCATACTCTTGATTCCGTCATTTTCAAACTTTTACCACTCCAAAATCTTTACTTCATTCTTTTTTCATTTCTAAACATAATGTCTCATGCTTTGAACCCCTCATTCTAGCAATTTCTTGACCTTATTGAGATGTCCAATCCACTTACTCTACCACTTTTTCACTATTTCTCCTTTCATTCATGTTTTGTTTCTAGTGACGCAGTTTACAGCCCACAGTCTAGCATTATAATTCCTCACTTGCAAATACCCTTAACTCCCTTTATTTCTCCCCTTTCTTAATACTTACCTGGTAAAACCTCAAATAAATGATGCCTGTCTTGACTTTGATCCAGAACCACAGAATGATACTGGAGAAAAACACAGAACCATACTGATTTCTCACTTTGAATTCATGACTATAAATTTCAAATGGACACTCAAGTCGGCTTAACAATCCTATTACTCTACCCCAGTATATTTACTTTTCTAACCTCAAAAAAATTATTTCATTCCTTTTCATTTTTCATAAAACCTGCTACATTACCAACTTCCCTTATTCTCTTTTGATAGCCATGTTTTATACATCATAGAGAAAATAGAAACAATCGTACAGGCACTCCCTTATGGTCCCATTAAGAAATTAACTAACCTCTAGACATTTACTTTTCTATTGTCAGCCAATATTTCCAATCTTAATATTTGCTCCATTTTGCTGCTTTGCTTTTCTTCTATAGAAGTCTTACTACATTTATTGACTTTTGCTCAATTTTTACAACTGTCTTTTCTCTTTTTCACCTCTTTCTTCATTTCATTTCGATTTTTAAGTTTCTCTTTACACTCTATTTCTCATAAAGTATTATCTGTTGTCTTCTAGTCTTCATTTACAAAATAATTTATGAAGTAGTTTTTCTGTCAATTTTTATTTTCTGATTAATTTTACCTCATTTCTGTTTTCATAATTGTGATTTATTTATTCATTCATATCTCATATAATTATTTCAATTGTTTACTTCTATTTAAGTATTAAGTTACAGTTGTCTATGTTTTGTGAGCATGTCTCTCAGGCATGCTCTCAATGTTTACAAGAATATTAACTGCTGCCAATAATGCCTTTGCATGGGATTTGACTGCAATCCTTTTCTGTTGCTAAATAGTACATGAAATAATTTTCCCTTAATTTTTGCAAGTGACCATTGAATCATGATAGCTTTTCTAGCTTTACAGCTCTAGAGATCTTTCTTCTGTTGTGTAAAGTTGTAACATGGCCTTGAATTTTTTCTGAGATCAGTTGGGTTTTTTTTTATTCCCACGTTTATTCTGGAATTTTTAATTTCCTTCGCTTCTATTTTGTTCCTAGCCTGATCAATTTGAAAGTTATTTCCAGAAGTTACTCTTCAATATGAGGCTTTGTTCTGAAAATGAGCTTCAGCTACTTAGTTTTTCAAAGTTCTCAGAAACGAAGATGCTCTAGCCCCTTCAGATATGACTTCAAAGCTCCCCTCCCCCTTTGCAGCTACTGTTCTCAAATTGGGCTGCTACTCTTTCCAATTAATATCTATGTTTAGACATTTTTCTGTTTGCTGATAAGCAGACACACTATTGCTTCCCTCTGCTTCCTCCAGCACAAACAGACAGAATACAAGTCTTGTCATTGTTAGTGAGCTGTCCCCATCCCTCACATTTTGGGGTCTGTGGGGATAACTTGTCATTTCCATTTTATTGCAGATGCTTGTTTGGTTTTACTATTTTAATGCTATGTTTTTATGATTTCAGGAACATTCATAAACTATACCACTGCGGTTGCCATCATCCTTGAACTCTCTTTTGTACTTTCCTAAAACATGTCTTTAACAGTATCCCATTAGGTTTGCAGTCCTGTATTTTCATGACCACTTAATTCAAAATATATTCTAATTTCCATTATGATTTCTTCTTTGATGACTTATTTATAAATGTATTATATTTGGAAGATTTTCTAGTTATCTTTTTGTTATTGATTTCTAGTGTGAATGCAGTGTAAACATCCCCTGTATGATATCAATCCTTTGAAACATGTTGAGACTTGCTTTAAGGCTCAACCTACGACCAATTTTGTTAAGTGTCCCATACGCACCTGAAAAGAATACATATTCTGCAGCTAATGGTTACTAAATTCAACGTATGTCTATCAAAACAAATATGCTAAGTGTGCTGTTTATATTTTCCACATCCTCATTTTCCTTCTGCTTGTGTTAAAAATCCCCCACCATCATTATGGCATGTCTATAAATGTTTACATTATACAATTCTAATTGATGTTATTATGTAGAGACAAATTTAGGACTGTTCTATTTTCCTTAAGTATTAAATCTGCTTTTATAATACAATGTTCCTTTCCTTCCCTACTGATGGGTTCTGACTTGAATCTTATTCTGTCTAATATTAACATAGCTACAACAGATTTCATTTGGTTCATGTTTAGAGAGTACCATTTTCACCATTTTATTGTCACTTTAAATGGTTATTTTTGAAACAGGACATTGTTTTTATTGTTATTGTTGTTTTTAATGTAACCTGACAGCCTCTGTCCAATAATTGTAGTACTAATTACATTTACAATTCTGCAAATATGGATATTACAGCTTTAAATCTACTTCTTACCCTTGCTTTCCTTTTGGCCTCTCTATCTTACAAGCTCTATTCTCTCTTACCTTCTTTTTGTTTCATTTTTCCCTATTAGCTGGTTAATTGTACATTCTCTTTGCTATTATTTTAGTTATCTCAGTGATTATGACATGCATTCTTATTTGTCAAAATCTTGTATGAATTAGAACTTCACTCTCTCTCAAACAATGAAGGTACATTTAGAAGACTTTAATTCCTTTATCCCCGCCCCAACTTTTATGCTCCCATTTTGGTGTATTTTATTCTTTACATATATCTTAAACCCCACCAGACAGTATATTGTTTTGTGCCGTCAAACTTCATTACATTTACTCTTTCCTTTGCTCTTCACTTCTTCCTGCATCTCCTTACTTCCATTCAAAATAATTTCCCTTAGGGTGAAGAAATAATTTCCTTTAATAGGGCCTTTACCATTGGTGTGCTGCTGATCAACTCTTTCCACACTAGTTTGTTTGAAAATATCCTTATTTTGCCTTCAATCTGATATATATGTAAAGACTTCTATATTGGCAATTACTTTCTTTCAGCACCAGCCATTATCTTGTCTTTGATTGTTTCTGTTGAAAACTCAACTATGTATATTTTTCTTGATTCTTTAAAGACTTTAAAGATAATATATTTTCTTTTTCTCTGGCTACTTTTAATATTTTTCTCTTCATCTTTAGTTTTCAGCTATTTTCCTATGGAATACAAATGGACCACTGTTTTCTTAATATTGATCCTGCTTTAGGTTCAAAGTGCTTTCTTCAATCTATGGGTTGATATCCTTCCTTACCTTTGTAAAATCTTGACCATTATCCCTTCAAATATTGCTTTTGTTCCATTATTGCTCTCTTGCTCTTTCATCTCTCATTTTGGAATACGTTACACACATGTTAAGAATGTTAAGTCATGTTTCATAAACATTTTTTTTTATTTTCCTCATTTTGTCTCTCCACACTTCAGTCTGAATATTTACTTCTGAACTCTCTTCCAGTTTCCTAATTCTCTTCAGCTGTGACTTCCTAATTTCAGTTATGATTCTAGTCTTAGAGTTCCTATTTGACTCTTTTCAATGATATCAATTCTCTGCTAAAGTTTTCCATCTTCTAATTCCTTGAACATTTTAATCCCTTTTATTTAAAGTCCACTTCTAATAACCTGAATTTGGATCCTAGGAATTCTGTTTCTATAGCCTGCTTTTTTTCTTTTTTCCTCTTAATATCCAGAGAGTCACTATCTTTTTTTGGATGCTAGGTCTTTTTTTTTTATTGAAAAGCAGACATTGTGAACAAAAATTTTTAGAGACAATGTGAGGCTCTACATTATTTTCCTTCAGAGAAAGCTTATTTTTGCTTCTGGAAGACTGCTAAGGTAGCGAAAGATTATCTTAACCTAAATCACAGACTGAAATCTTCAAAACTGGGTTTAAGTCATTGTGAATATTTGGTCTATTTCTGATTCATCCTTACACCCGTGAGTTCTGAAATCAAAGCCACAGGTATTGCTAAGATCTCTCCTCTTTGACAGGCCTTGGAAAGGCCCAGAATTCCAATTTTGGTCCCCACAGAGCCATGAAAATGCAGAAAGTTCTGTTCATTTTCTCAGCTGCCACTTTATCCTAACTGTGCCAGCTGTGTCAGCTTCTCTGCTGCTACTTTTGAATCAAGGGTTTTAAACACCCCCCTATTTCCTACCCCAATCTCCCAAAGAATAATGCAAGTTAAAGAGCTCTGAATCATTCAAATGATTAAATAACCCCACCTGAATTCTCTTATAACCTCAGTGTAGTGAAAGGCTTTATAACTATGACTCAAAATACAGATGCAATAAATGAAAAGACGGATTAATTTAACTACATAAAATTTTTAAAAACATTTATCAAAAAACACTATAAACAAAGTGAAAGGACAACTGACAGTGAAAATATCTGCAAGATCTTCTACCTCACTGAAAATTAGAAAAATGCAAATTAAAACTAGACAAAGCTATCACTTATCTATGAGATTGGCAAAAAATAAACAAACTATGAAGATACATCCTGTTGGCAAGACAGTGGGGAAATAAGCACTCCCATACATTGCTAGTGACTCAAACTGGTACAACCTTTTTTGGAATTTGGCAATATCTAACAAAATTACACATCCTTTTACCTTTTGACTCAGCAATTCTACTTCATGGAAATTTACCTTGAAAATATACAACCAACAGTACATAAAATCATATAAAGTATTGTTTGCAATTGTAAAATATGGGTGTATTCAGGTGAAAAAAATGAGAAAGATCTCTGAAATGACAGAAAGTGATTTTCTGTAATGTAAATAAGAAAATATACATTTTCTCAAGAGAACAAAAGAAACACAGGAAGAATAAATAAGAATCTAATGAGGATGATTACCTACAGGGGGCAAGGAGGAACCAAGTGGAAAATCTGAGAGGATGAAAATGGGGTAGAAAGGCTGGGAAATGGAAGTGACTCTTCTCTGAGTACACCTTTTTGTATAGCTTTCTCTTTTTGAGCCATATTATATTTCACGTACTCAAAACAAACAAATATTAAATGCTATACTCCACTTAGTAAGCTGTTTTTTGCAATAGTACAAATTAGCAATTCTTAAAATACTTACTGTGTAAGCAAATAAACAATATATGATAGAAAATGGGGCCCAGGTTTTTCACTGACAAAAAAGTGAGTCATAAATTTAGAAAGTGGGAGGCTAGAGTGAATCTTGTGCTATCAGATTGTAATTGGCAGTATCAGTATGGATGTGTGGATTTTAATAGATCAATAAAGACATGTGTATGTGTTTGTGTGTGTACACGTAAATGTATTCACACTATTTCCTAGCTCTGTCCTCTCAGGGTGTCTAGAACCAAAGAAATACCTGTAGCAATGAACACATGATATCAAGATTTTGGTTTCTAAATACCTTTCTCTACATAAAAGAACCAAGTTCCTCTGAGAAATATTGTTTCCAATACTATAGACGAGAAAGCAAAAGATCACCCTGCAGCATCTTGCCAGAAAGTAAGGAAGTACTCAAAAAATGTAGGGGACGTGTCCATAGGACACAGAAGCCAGCTTGAAGGGGCAATCACTGGCTAAATCTGGGGACAATTTTAGCACCACGGTAAGGAATAAGAGTAATAAATTATAGCTATTAAAATACGAATTATGAATCTATACTGATATTTTTAAATGCAAAAATAAATAAAATAAAGAAGCCTATTTCTTATATTAGAACACCAACTAATAAATTTAGATAGAATAATGGACTTAGAATATCACCATTTGGTAATCAATATAATAATAACTGTATCAGGCAAGAATCACCAATGGATATTAAATGAGGCAGTAAAAGTTTGATGAGAAACAGGTTATCTACTATTGGCAAAGTATCTCCCCAAAAGATACCCAATTAACTACAAAAGGAAACAGTAACTTAACAGTGCAGAACCTAGCAGACATCACCTTAAAGAAGTGGCCAAAATTAACTGAGGAAGTTAATTTTGGATAAGTAGATATCATGAGTCTCCTGAGAGGATACCCTAAGGAGGACACAGCATCACTGCTGTGGTATTTCTGCCAAAGCTTAATCTGGAGCTAATCATGAGGAAACATCAGATGATATGTTAGACACTCAAACATCCACAAGTATATGCATACATATACACACATACATACACATTACGTATGTGTATGAATAATTATATACAATGTAACATATAAGTGTGTGTGTGTGTGTGTGTAACGATAGAGCAAATGTGATAAAATTATCACTTGGTGAACCTGCAGTAAGAATATACAGTGATTGTTGAGCTGTTTGTACTGTTTCTGAAACTTTTCTGTAGGTCTAAAATTATTTGAAAACTAAAAAAGAAAAAAGAAGAATCCCACCAGCAAACTGGAGGACATGAGCTGTTAATCTAATACCTGCTTATTTCTGGAAAGGGTCAACTCGTATAGTCCTTCATGCTCTGCACTGCACAACTCCAGGGAGTGAAACACCCATGGACAGAACGTGGCAGCCCTGTGAACAGGAAAAAGGGATGATATAAACATTTTGGCCCGCCTCTATGATTTCTTGTCCTGAAATTTCAGTTATCAAGATAAATCCTTCCCTTTGCTTAAAGAGAGAATTTTGACAAGCCATAAAGTAGAAAAAAAAATTATGGACATAATGTGATCTCAACTATGTTAAAGATACAAACAGAGGAAGGAAATATACTTAAACATGTATAATGATTACCTCTCAGTAAGAAAACACAGTGATATTTTTCTACTCTGTCTTCTACAATTAGAACATAATACTTCATAAGGAAGAAAAGTTTGAGGTAGGTACTTTATAAGGGAATAATCAATGGTAATGAATATTGACAAGTCACAAAGAATGGGAGAAATAACCCCTAAATTTAGAAATGAGTAAGACAATGACTTTTGAGACGTTGACCAGCTGAGTGGTGAAATGCATGGAAGAGTCAGGATATATAAGGGAAAGAATATTGATCTTGAAATCTGAAGATCCAAATTCAGATCAGCAATGCTCACCTAGTTGTGTGATCCTGAGTAAGTCACTTTCTCTCTTCTTAAAAATGAACATTTACGGGGCCAGCCCTGTGGCTGAGTAGTTAAGTTCGCGCGCTCTGCTTTGGCGGGCCGGGGTTTCACTGGTTCGGATCTTGGGCACAGACATGGCACGGCTCATCAGGCCATTTTGGGGCAGCATCCCACATGCCACAACTAGAAGGACCCACAACTAAAAAAATATACAACTATGTACTCGGGGGATTTGGGGAGAAAAAGCAGGAAAAAAAAAAAAAGACTGGCAACAGTTGTTCACTCAGGCGCCAATCTTTAAAAAAAAAAAAAGGAATACTTCGTCTGTCTTGTTTTCTGACAAAGTTGTTCTGTGAATCATGCAAGATCATGTATGTAAAGAAATATCAGCAATTATTTATTATGATGAAGATTATTACTAAAGGTGGATGTCTGGCAAGCAATTAATAACCAACACATAGTTTATTCTCTCTAAACGACTGTTCTCTATATGGCTAAGTTGTAAAATACTACTCATCCTTCCAGACAAAGTTGAAATGTTGCCTCTTCTTCTTGATACCCCTCCTAATGATTCCAGGGTGAAAAATTCCTGCTTTTTACATTGACATTTCTTTCCTTATGTATTTCATCATATTTACTTATATTTACTTATTTACATGTATTATATCCCCTACTAAACTGCTCCTTAAGGTCCAGAAATGGAGCCCTTATCTTTACACTCTAGTAGAGCCCAACATATCTTACACAGCATCTATAAGTGTTCAGCTTAAACAATTTAATTTCTGGCCCTTCTGTTTTTGACGTTGGTACATATTTGCACAGTATGTATACAAAAAGATTCTACTGACTATACATATACTTAACATGTTTATAGTCTCTGTTGAACAGATTATATAGGAAAGATCATATATAGACAGATAGATCTAATACTTTTTAAAATCCATTTTAATGGAAATTATCATGTCCAACATAACAAACCCACAATGACCCTTGAGATGCCTAACAGGTCTAATGGTCTCACAGGAAGTGAGGAGAGGAACTACTTATTTGGCTTCAAAAAAAGAAAGAAGTTTCAGAAGTCACCTAAGAGGAAAAAATTACAAGTTAATTGCAGATGTACAGGTTCCCAAAGCAGGAACCTACTCAAGGTATTGGCTTTCAAAAATCTGTCTTCAAAGGGCAGTTTACATTACATAATAATACGTGGAAGTTATACATAATAGGTTCTTCTGAAACTCTATGGCTTCTATTTTCGTGTTTTGTGCTTCTAATCTCTGAAATGCTAGTTTTTGACTCGGAGGTCTAGTGAGGTCTAAGACATCCAGAAGCAGTGTGATATCAATTACTATTTCAAAAAGTATATGCTGTTATCCTGGTACTCAGAAAAGCCAAGAAGATTTCACCTTTTAATTATCTACTGTTAAATTACAACAGACTTCCGGTGCTTTTTCATCTTTTTGAGTATTGTTTTCTTCTAATTTTATTTTCTAAGAAGCCACTGGAGATAAACTTAACTAATACTAGAAGACACATCTGGAACTTTCAAAATCAGTTTCGGTACGGAGGCTTCCTTGCTCAGGTTGGTTTCAGTGCAAACATTTGTACCCTTTGGTTAAAAGAAATTCAATTAAGTGTACTCTCACTCTTCCATTTTAATCTTCTCAACGACCTGAGAAGTAGAATCTCTTTTTCACACCATTTTACAGATGATGGAACTGAGGTACAGAGGTAACTTTTCCCAAGTCTTGGGCTAGCAAATGGCTAAGTAACCTGTCAGGTTCAGCAACTGGCAAGGAACACAGCAAGTCTGGCTCTGGGACTCAAGCCCTTGCCCTCATGCTACTCCATTTTCCTACAACATATCAGACAAATCAAATTTAGAGAATACAACACTGTAATTTTTGTGACATAGATAAAACCTGCTGACGTGTGGTCATATTTTCATTTAGATTATGAGCTTAGAAAACAATGATTATCTGTTACCTACTCATAAACTGTTGCCTGAATTTAATCCGAAGACAGTTTATTTTCTGATCAAACGCTTACTACTAATCACGTGACTAACAGCAAACGTTCTGGAAATGTTTTATGCGTAAAGCCTGAAAATCCACAATATTCACTGCCCTCCACTATTTTTGGAGGTTTACATATAGCTCAATATGAAATAAGTAACATATTGTCATGAAAACAATTTGCAAAGCATGTGACAATATTACCAATACCTAGATTTTATTTTGTCTTTTTCTTTCAAACTACAGTCTAAATATTTTAACGTAACCTATTCCAGTCCTATTTGTCTTTTTTTATAAAGTTCATATAATTAACATTATCCTCCCTTACTTTATTTTTTTAAGCACTTCCACATTTTCCCTTAAGACTTATCCGTAGGGTCCTGCCATAATAAAAGGAAAACAAACTATCATAACTGCCTGAATTTCAATTTTCTCCTTTGGATAAGGGAAAAAGATACTAGTCCCGCATAGCTGCATCCCGAAACTTAGCAAAAGATCACAGGCTACGGTGATCGTGCCAAATATGTTAACAGGTGAACGGGAAAAATCTCTGAGCCGGCCTCGCCATCCTTGCTCTCCTCTCCCGACCCGAGGGCGCCGGGAGGCAAGAGAAGGCGACCTGCCTGCTGCACCCCAGGTCCCGTAGGCTTCGATCTTTCCTCATTCCCCGGAGGCTCAAGGCCGAGCAGCAGTTTCGGGACAATAGGACAAAGCACTGAAAGGCTTCCCCCACTCCCAGAATTCTCAAACTACTGGGAGAGAAGGGAAAACCGAGGCGACAGGAGGTTCCGCTCCAAAGAAGTGGCGGAGAAGAGGCCCACAGCGTCGGGATAAAGCAGGATAGACGGCTAGAAAACTAACCCAGCCCAAAACAGAGGGAAGTGGCCTCGGGTCCCGAGGACCGCCGCTCCACGTCCCCCGCCGCCCGCCCGAGGGGGGCAGGGTCAAAGGCCGCGGGCAGGCGAGCAGCGAGCAGATTGGCTGGCGGACGAGCGCGCAGGCGCTGGGGTGGGCCCGGTGCCCGCCGCGGTCGCGGCCGCGGGGCCTTGAATCCCTCAGCTACTCACCAGGTGCTGGGAATCCGGCCACCGGCAGGCACTCAGCCGCCAGAGCCGTTGAAGTTGGGAGGAGAGACAGCGTCCCCGGCCTACCGGCTACGACGCCAACCAGCCCCGCCTTCCAGAAGGCGCGCGCAGAGCGTTCCGGGAGCCCTGAGGGGCGGGGCCGGGCCCGCTGAGGGGGCCGGGCCCGCTGAGGGGCGGGGCTCTGGTTTCCCGGCACCGGCCCTACGTGTCTGCGAGGGTCAGGAGGGGAGTGGAGGGGGAGAGTCTTCCGTTGCCTTCGTACGGATGGAGAAAAGAGGCGGAGTGGCGTCGGGCTGGCCTACCCTTCCTCTTTCTGCAAGTGGTGAGGACGCTCCCGTCTTTTAGAAACTTGACAGCTAAGGTTCCGCTGGGAAGCTCTCACTAAGCGAGGACAGCTGTTTTTGATGTGAGGCGTTCCAAAGTTGCCTTGAAGTCGAGTACACGGGTTGTTTTCAGACTTTTTAAATTGAGAGACTGTTTTGTCTTTTTTTAAAAATGAAACTTTACTTGGAAGCCCAAGGTAGACGAATAAAGATAACATTTTTAATTTGCAAATGGATGGTATAAAATCACATTTGCATTGGAATATTTATAGAAATAATTGAGAGCAAGAAGGCAGGTGTGAAGAAGAGGAACTTCTGAAGGTTTCCATTTTACATCACACTCAGAGCTAGAGAATTCTCCATTTTGTTTGGTTACATAGTAACAAGAAATCTTGACTCACAGTGTAGAACTTGCTGGTGTGAACAGGTTTGTAAGGGCTCTCCCTAAAAATCTCACTGGGTTTTTTTAAACAAATTTTAATTGTTAAATGTATATCTATGAGTGTATGCCGTATGTGCACGTTTTAAAGAATAACAAAAAGAATATCCAGGTACCCACTACCGGGCTGAAGATACAGAAAAATATCAGTATTTTTGAAGCTTTCTAGAAGGCCTCTTCAAAAGTATTTTTCCCTCTCAGCCAGACATAACCATTCTGCTGAAATTTTGTATTACTCATTTCCTCGCTTTTCTGATAACAGTTATAATAGATAAAATTCCCTAAAAATATAGCTATCCTGGTGTTATATTTTATATAATGAATCATGCTGCATTTTTTCCCTCTGACCTCTATTTTCACTACACATTCAGGTTTTGAGGTTCAGCTATACATAGATCCATTTCACGTGGACTAAGCTGACACGTCATTATCCAGAACACTTGCTATAGTTAGATCTTAAAATCTTTGCCTGGTCACAGCATCTGATTGCTCTTTCTTTTGTTTTTTGTTTCTGTTTTTGTTTTTGCTGAGGAAGATTTTCCCTGAGCTAACATCTGTTACCAATCTTCCTCTTTTTGTATGTTAGCCGTGGCCACAGCTTGGCCACCAACAAGCAGTGTAGGTCAGGAACTGAACCTCGGCGGCCAGTGAAGAGCCTGCCGAACTTAACCACTAGGCCACTGGGGCTAGCCCCTGATTGCTGTTTTAGTTTGCATTTCCCCTCTTGCTACTGGGCTTATGCATCTTTAATATGCTGAATAGCTATTTGGGTTTCTGTGAAATGCCTGTTCTCAATTTTGGCTGATTTTTTATTGGATTGTTTGCTTTTGAACATCAATTTGTAGATAATCTTTATATATTTTTAAAGTTTAAATACTTCTTGTCAGTTTTATGTGTTGCAGGTAGCTTCTCTCAGTTTGTGGTTTTTCTTTTAACTTTCTATGTTTCTTTTGATGACCAAAAGCTGTAAATTTTAAGATACAGCTAATTGAATTTAATTTTTTACATTATAATTTCATGCATTTTGCCTTCTCGTTTACAGGAGTCTTCCCAACCTGAGATCATAAGCTATTCTCTTCTATTTTCTTCTAAAAGAACTAAAGTTTAATTATGAAATATTTTAGAAACAGAAAGGTACAGATAATAACATAATGAACACCATGCACTCATCTCTATGAATTCAAACATTTTGCAAGCCCCTCTTTTTTATGATTTTTCTCTAAAATTGTCAGCTATTCTTGGCTATTTGCTCTTTCATCTAAACTTTAGGATGAGGCAGCCAAGATCCATAAAAAAAACCCTATTTGGACTTTGATTAGAATGGAACTGACTTTATAGATTAATTTAGGGAAACTTACCTTCTTATCCATGAACATGGTAGAATTATCTACTTTTTCAGGTCTTTTATTTTCTGTAATGCTTTGTAATTTATTGAAGTTTTAAACAAGTTTCATTATACAAGTTCCTAGATTTTATTGTTAAAATTGAAGATATCTTTCTTTAAATTACATTTTCTAATTTGTTATTGATGTTACATAAAAAGGGCATCAATTTTTGTTTATTGGTCTCACATCCACAAAACTTTGCTGAATTTTTTGTTTGTATGTTTTCTTTTTTTCTTTGTTACTTCTCTGGATATGTAGTATAAACATGATTTGTAAATAAGGATAATTCTTTCCTTCTTTTTCACTTCTTAAACCACTTATTTATTTTTCTTTTCTTGTGTATTCACAGGACTTCTAGTACAATATTTAATGAAAGTACCAATAGCTCCTTATCTCATCCCTGACTGTACTGCAGTCCTCCTAAAATTTTATCATGAAGTATAATGTTTGCTACTGGTTTTTGGTAGATGCTTCATAAGAATTATTAAGTGTTCTATTTCTAGTTGCTAGATTTTTTTTTTAATCATGAATGGCTGTTTAACTTAATCAAATATTATTTCTATACTTTTTTGTTTTGGGACAGGGTGAGGAAGATTGGCCCTGAGCCAATATCTGTTGACAATCTTCCTCTTTCTTATTGAGGAAGATTGTCCCTGAACTAACGTCTGTGCCACTCTTCCTCTGTTTTGTATGTGGGATGCTGCCATGGGGTGGCTTGACAAGCAGAGGGTATGTCTGCCCCGGGATCTGAACCCACGAACTCCGGGCTGCCAAAGTTGAGCACACAAACTCAACCACTATGCCACTGGGCTGGCCCCCTACATTTTTTAAATATAATCATTGTTTCCTACTCTAATATGTTTATAGGGCTTATTATATTAATAGATATTCTAATGTTGAATGAGAGAGAAGGTATTTTATTTTGCAAATATATCAATGCATGACCGCTTCTTAAAAACTGTTTGATTCCTTTATACCTGACAGTGTAAATAAATTAAAGTAAATGGATTCTCACTGCATCACTTTTTCTGCCCATCAGATTCATTGCCTGATAGTGTTTATAAATTGGATTGGAGTTGCAGAGAAGGCCCCATCCTTTACCTCTGACTGCTCTGTTGGTCCTTTGCTACTGGCAAGGAATATTGAAATGGCGTTGATAAAGACAATGTTGTCATTGTTTTTTTTCCCCCACGTGACTTTTTTCCGAAGAGTTTTTGTGTATGTTATGTAATTATTGTCTACATCCCTGGGAGGTATGGAAACAATGCTTTTTTTGTAATGACCACATATATAATTATACATGTAATTACGTGCTAAATCTTCATGCTAAATCTTTTGACATTTTTTCAGATGTGGAATGGCTGTAATTTCTTCCAAGTGAAAGTTTCTATTTCTCGTATTTTTAAAAAAATTCTTAAAATAGTTCCCTGAATATGGTAGATTTATAAGTATTGATTCAGAAAGTTCTCCATGACAAATTAGTAAGTTAAGAAACTATCTTCATTAATATTTACAGGATGAGTCCATTTATTTAAATACGTGTGTATATGTATATATATTATATATATAAAATAACATATGTATCTTAAATCATATAAAATATCTGAAGGGATGTGTACACCATTAAGTGTAGTCATCTAAGGGAAGGGGAATGAAAGAAGATTTTCCTTTTTTACTCCAACACTGTAGTGGGTTTTATTTGTTTATTTTTACTATCAGCACATATTTATGTATTTTGTAATATAAAAAATAGCACTAGAGTAATATGCAATTCATCTAATAGGTGGTTTCTTGGAAGGAAAAGATATGCGCTGCATGTAAGTTGATTTTGCCTAGTAAATAGACATTTTAATTGTTGCATCAAGGGTGATCATTGAGATCTCAAAGAAAAAAAATGATCCAAAGAAGGAGGAATGGGAAAAAAATACAAATTTTGTTTATCAAACTCTTGTTAAGAACTATCCTAAAGCATTAAACTAATAGTAACCTTTGATTTCTTGCAATTACCATTTATTATTGTAATAGTCCCCAACCTACAGGGTTCTTGGGGTGGATCTTGCCTTGCTACTAGAAAAATAGCACACATTTCTCTTTTGCTATTAGCAATAAAGATCCTTCTCCTTATTTCTCAGGCCTACGCAAACTTTTATCCCTACAGCCATCCTTTTCGCTGTCTCCATTTCAGTGAGCCTCAGACACATACAAAATATATAGTGTGTGAGGAGGTATACCAGTTAGGGTTAGCTCTGTTCGCACAAACAGAATACTCAACAGTTGCATAAACAAGATAAAGGTTTGCTTCTCTCTTGTGTAAAAGGGGTGGGGCTCATTTCGTGACTCCACAGTTATAATAGATCTAGACTCCTGTTTTATTTTATTTTATTCTACTGTACGTTATTCTACTTTCTTTTTACCCCACCATCCTTATTGCTGGCTTTGATCCTCATACTTCTCCTATAGAGAAAGATGGCTGGTATGCTCTAGATATCTTGTCTGAATCCCAGTCAGGAAGTAGAAGGAAGGTGGCGGCAGGGGATGTTGGAAAGGACAAAGATGGCTCCTCCAGTCACTTGTTAAAGAAGTTTTCTGGGAAGTACCATCCAACAATTTATGCTTTTGTGTGGTTGAATGTAATCGAGTCACTTATCCATACTCAGCAAGGGAGTCTTAGGAGTGTGGTCTTTTACCTGGGCTTACTGCCACCCCAAATAAAGTCAGAGCTCTGTTACTAAGAAAGAAGGGAAGAATGGATATTGGATAAACAATAAATAGAACTTACCTCAGCAGAGAATAGAGTAGAGAAAAATAAAGAGATGTACCGGGGCTGGCCCGGTGGTGCAGCGGTTAAGTTCGCATGTTCCACTTCTCAGCGGCCAGGGGTTTGCTGGTTCGGATGCCAGGTACGGACATGGCACCACTTGGCAAAAGCCATGCTGTGGTAGGCATCGCACATATAAAGTAGAGGAAGATGGGCATGGATGTTAGCTCAGGGCCAGTCTTCCTCAGCAAAAAGAGGAGGATTGGCAGTAGTTAGCTCAAGGCTAATCTTCCTCAAAAGAAAAAAAAAAAGAAAGGAAGAGATGTACCTTACCAAGATAGGTGGATCCAATCCAAGATCCTGGAATACTGCTGACCACCTTGTAGCTTGGTTTCCCTATGGGGTGTCCCTTTGTTC